AGGGTACGTCCAGACTACCCACTAAATCGGCGGGTAGCGATTGATCCCCAAACGCGCTCCCATTGACTCCGGAACTCCACCAGGGTGAGCAGCGGTAGCGGAGTCGACGGGGAGCTGTGGCCGTCGATCCCGTGCTGTGAGGATGGGAGGTAAGTCGAAATAAGATACGTCGACTTCAGCTACGCTATTCCCATAGCTGAAGTTGCATATCTTATATTGACCCCCCCTCCCATAGTGTAGACCAGCCCCAAGTCCATAAAACATACTTTCCATTTAGTTACATTATGCCTTAAATCTTATCCATACATACATCTCACAATGACTGAGTCTTGACAAGTCACGAGCTTTCTGTAGGTACAGGATATTTATCCATAAAGAGTACATATAAGGTAAGATGAGTTTGGTGTAGTGAGTTTATCCTGTCTCTGGTGAGAGCTTTTTGCAAAGAACAGGGGACCTTTTGTCAAGTGGTCTATGTCACACCATGGTATTTTTCACCATATTAAAAATCTGAATACTTAATACTACATTTAAAAAAACCCCTACTAACCAACCAACACAAACATCCGCTGCAAATAAACATAACTCCCCCCCCTCCAACACTACAGAGGCATTTGAAGGTGAAATCTATCTCCTTTCCTTTATTTTAAGTCAACTGTTGGGAACTTTTCAAGAGTACTAATTGACACCCCTGGAGATTCAAATCCTCTTATTCTCATGGCAGGTGGGACTGGTAACAGAAGCAGTGCAAGATTGTCCATGGGAATTATTATACTTCCTTTCCCCCATCTTTTGTCTGTCTTACCTACTTAGGCCCTGATCCTGCAAAGACTTACTCACATGCTTAACTCTAAGCACTTGAGTATTCCCTTTAGCTTTAGTAGAACTAGTCAGATAATTACAGTTAAGCATATTGATTAGTCTGTATAGGATCAGGGCCACAGTTGTAAGCTATTTGAGGCAGGTACTGTATTCTGCTATGTGTTTGTACAATTCTTAACACAATGGAGCCTCCACCTCAGCTGAGTCTTCTAACTGCTACTGTAATACCAATACCAATAAAATAATAATGCCACCGTACTTCAGTCCTGACTTACAGGGGACCATCTCTACCAGTAAGATGACAGTCTAGTAGTCTCTAACCCATTCAGTGCTTGGCCTCTCTGCTAACAAGGGTGCTAACTGGTGCTAGAAGGGATGGAAATCTGTTTTCATTTTCCTCCATTGTTTCCACACTGGTTTGTTATGGTAGGGTTGTTTACAGTACCATAGCTGCCATTAGTTTTTTAAAATAAGAAAAGGAGGGAACTAATATATAAATAATTACATAGACTTGGAAGACGAGGGTGTGTAAAATTTTGTGCCCACCAACTTTGAAGTGTCCCTTTAAGAATAGGATATAGCACAAATTCCTGATGTGAACTCTATATATTGTTCTTTTTTTAATTGTAAAAACAACCCAATATCTCAAAGGCTTTATGAACAGAACTTAGAGAACCTTGAATTATTGTGGTGTAAATACTTGGGTCACGTTGCATACATGGTTTTCCCTGAGAACGAATTGAAAACAAGCTTCCCAGTTGACATTAAGCCAGTGTTTGTGAAATTAATCCCCCAGCCTTCAGGTTAATGAAATTCTCCAGAGAGAAACAAACATACTCATCACCCGCATAGTTGCCAGTGCAGACATCCCAGACTTATTTGGAAAATTATTAGTTGTATTTGTATTTGTGTAGTGCCAAAGAGCCCCTATCCTGGACCAGGACCCCATAATTTTATGATACCAATGAACAGCACAAGCAGCTGAACTGCACTTCTCCAGATGCAGGAGGATGACGGTATCCTAAAGATCCTGCTTCACTCCAAACTCCAACACTTATAAAATAAAATAAGTCCATTAACTTTGTGGGTGCTGCAAATAGTCATCTTGCTGTTCTTCCTCAGATCCCCCTGGCTGTCTGTGGGCATAGTGGTGGACAGGAGTTTGTTAGATTTTTGGGGTAGGGCATGCCCAAAATTGGTTTTGGAGGTGCTCGCAAAAATAGTAAGGCTAACTCTGGACTCATGCTCATTTATGGCCAGGATGGGGAAGGGAGGAGAAAGAGGAGAAGGCTATGCCATTGTCCCTGCATCCTGGACCCAGATTGGTGGCTGGATTTGGCCTATTTGACTTCTGTACTCTTCACCCACATAAAGCTCAATTATTCAATTGAGAAAAACCAAAAAAACCCCAAAAGCAAAAGAACCCAAAAGCCTAATGAATCACAACGTGCTTTGGTCACTTATTCTACGAACTGTAACTTAGTTTTAATTATTTGTTTAACTTCATGTTCTATTAGTGAATGTACAGTAAAATATTCTAAGTAAAAGCAATGACGTCTAAGTTGTATGAAGAAGAACAGGAGTACTTGTGGCACCTTAGAGACTAACAAATTTATTAGAGCATAAGCTTTCGTAGCTATATGCATCCGAAGAAGTGGGCTGTAGTCCACGAAAGCTTATGCTCTAATAAATTTGTTAGTCTCTAAGGTGCCACAAGTACTCCTGTTCTTCTTTTTGCGGATACAGACTAACACGGCTGCTACTCTGTAAGTTGTATGAGACCTTGCTCTGCCATTAAATCCTTGCTGAGGAGTGGAGTGAGACTGCAGTGATTTTTGTGAGAATGTTTAGTTTTGTCAATTTCTGAGGTTTTACTACTTCACTTTCACCATTTCCAGAGTGGCACTGTAGGCAAAATTTTAAGGTTAGAGAAGAGTTTTTGTTTCAAACAAAAACAAACATTGAGGTGATGCTTTGGGGTTTTCCCGAGGCCAGTAAGGGGTTCAATCAACACCTGCCTTGCAAGCACCAGCACACTAGCACGGTCTCACCCTGGCTTCTATCACCCAGTTACTCTTTCAGGGGGACCTCCACAACCCTTCCAGCCCCTTGTGTTCTCCCCAAAAATGTTTACCTGCAGTGCTCAGCCCCTCTCACTATTAACACTCACAAAACCTAATCAAGTTTGCTGGTCCTTTAAAGAGACAGTACACAGTAACCTGTTAACTTAACTAAGGTTAACACAAAGTAAAACAAGCTTAGTAACAACAGAACACAGATTTAGGTGATACCAAGTAAAAAGGCTAGGGATAGAAATGGTTACAAACAAGCAAAAGTAAAAATACATTTCTAAGACTCAAATCTAACTTAACAAACTAGCGTCATTTATTCAAAATACTTTTCTCACCAAAGTCATTCTTCCAGCATCGCTGGTGATCCTTTAGCCAGGATCCGAATCCGAATCATTTGGTTCTTTGTCTCCTCAGGTGAAGGATGACAAAAAGGCCTTTTGCCTTTTCTTCTATCTCTTCTATAGTCTGTTAGTTAAGGTGCCACAGGACTCTTTGTCGCTATCTTCTCCAAGTTCATAGACCCTGTCAAAGGAGACAGGAAGGTTTCCTGGGAGTGCAGTCTCCATCCCCCATGGAGATTGTTCAGTGGTCATTTTCCCTCACTTGCTTGCACTGTTTACTTTGCATGTAAATGTGCTTTTCATTATCTTTGGTCACACCTTGCTTAATTTACATTGGAGACACAGTCAAATCTGTGAAACAGCATTCTTTTTAGAACCAGCTGGGATTAGGCACTATCTGCCAAACAGATTGGAGGAATATATTTCCATTCCAGCACTTCTCTATAGTTTTTTGCATGTGAACTGTACATACATCACACAAGAATATTAATAATCAGTGAGTTACTAGTCTCCCAATGATATATTAAAAGACACCTCTTAAATAAATATCATGACAGTGTGTGGGATGCACTGGGCTGATCAGGCCAGCTGAGACTCACTGCTACATACCAGGGAACCCCTTGACCTCTGGCAGTAGAGTGCTCTTGGGGTCATACCAATTTGTCTGTAGATCCAGTTCCCCAGAACTTTCCATCGACACATCAAAAGCAACTCTGACTTTGGAAGATGAATGTATCCCACAATATTGAACTTCTTCAACTGACAGAGGAGAAATGCTTATCTGATATCTTAATTTATGGATCTTTCTTGTTTCACATTTGCTGACCTCATGCGATGCCAAGACATCTGAACACATTTGTCCTCAACCACTGATGGAAACAGGACTGTTTTCTGAGTAAACAGCACTGGGTCCTGTGTCTGTTTCTTGTGTTATTTTAATGTACATTGACAGTGATGTGATGACTGCCATGTTGGCTGGAGACCTCCAAAGTGAAAAGCAAGAGACTCTATAATGTGAAAGTCTAATTTAAGCTGAGACCTATAGCAGACCCATATCCTCTGTAGATCAGGCACTGAAGGGAATACCTAACACACACTGACTAGTATTTATTTAGACAGTGCCATCATCCTTTCCCTGTCTATTAAAAAGCAATAAAATATATCTGAAAAATTCAGGTTATTACAGCTCCCCAAGCTAAAAAGTTATAAATAGCCCCTATATATAGTACCCCTTCTTGCCTCTCTATTCTCCACCCCTGCACTTTGCCTAGCAGCATGGCCCAGAGAAGCAAACTCAGAGAAAGAACCCCTGCCTTCTCTTTCTATTTCTGCCACAGAGTTGCTGTGTGACCATAAACAGGCCTCTTAACCCCTCTGTTTCTCGACTGCACAATGGGGACCAGGATTCCCTTTGTATGACTCTTCCCCCCCAGGCTTTTAGTCAGGGGGTTGTTTGAGAGCAGCAGTGCTGAAGGGTACTGTACTTTTAGTTCTACGTGCTCTGCAAAGCGCTTTGGAGAGAGGAGACAGGAGTACTAAGGGGGTGGGTGATTTGCTATTGATTGCTCATTAGGACGCTATGATTTTATTATGGCATCGCCTGGCATGATCACATGACTATCATTATAATTTCTTGCCCGTGGAGCTGCCACACCTCACCACCCTGGGGGGATCGCTGCTGCCAAGCACAGGCTGCCGGGGCAGAGCTGGGGTGGAAAGAAGGAGGCGGGCCCGAGGGGTGGAGTCTCCTGGCCCCCGCCGTGCCCGTCTCTGGTGGGATAAGGCAGGGAGGGCTCCCGCTGCGGTTTGGTTCCAGCCAGCTGTGAAACTGACAAGGGAGCGGGAAGGGGGGGGGGCTCGCTCCCTGTCTGGGGAGGAGGCTGCGACCAGGCGTGCGAGCCCAAGTGTGTTTAAAAAGCAATGAGCCACTCCCCCCTCCCCCCGCGCCACTCTCTTCCCTCGCCAGCCTGTTAGCTCTGCTCCCGGCTGTCTGCGAGTCTAGCGCGCAGCGAGCCCAGCGCTGGCCTGGGAGCGAGGGGCACCGCCAGAGGAGCGGGCAGGGGAGCAGAGGGGGCGTAGGCGGCTTCTGTTGTAGGGCGTGCAGCCCGAAATAAAACAAAACCAGGTCAGTGAGCTTCTTTCACACCCGTCTTCTTCTTTCAGCCGGTGTGTCCGATGGAGCCTTTTAAAGCAGCCGCCAGCTAGTGGTTTCAGAGAGGACCCCAGTAACTCACGGCATGGCTGGTTATACAGTGTGTGTGCGTGTTGACAAGCGGAGTTGCAAAGGAGGGTGCGGGGAATCTTTCGTCCTGCTCATCAGCGGGCGGAACTAGGTCGGGCTGCTCGTGTGTCGGGGTTGTGGGGTGACGATGGGGCTGGTGAGTGCCGGCTCTGGCATGGGGTGACAGCCATCTGGCTGAGTCGGTGGTGTCCTCAGATGCCTCCTTGAGCCCGGGCTGAAGCCAGCCCCTCCGCCCACCACCCTCCCCCTTGTCTCTAGCAGCACGGGGGGCTGCATTTCCTTCCTGCCCCCGGGCCTTCCCTAAAGAAATAGTTTCTTCACCGAGGGGTTGTTATCTCCAGCCCGCTGGGCTTTCTATCTCCAGCCCTTTCTCCCGAGGAGGGGCTTCCAGGAGGAGGAGAAGAGACAGCTGTTTAGGGCTTTTCATCTGGCCGATTCTGCTTGACAGGGGTGAAATGATCGCTGGAAGGGCAAGGCAAGGAACCGGAGCTTAGGGGGGGAGACAAGCCCTGCAATTTGGGGAGGGGGGGTAGGCTTTGCATGTTTCCTGCGTTCGGGAGGGGTGAGGCTTTAAAAAGGGGCTTAGCCTATTAAAAGGGAGGGCAGTGGTAGGGATGGTAAAGCGATGTCTGAAATGCCAGCTGATCCGTTGGTGTGTGCGTGCATGTGTTATCTGTCTCCTATACCCATCAACTCTCATATGTAATAGCCACAGGGTGTTTGTTTCCCTTTTCGGCATTGAGGGAGTTGCTAAAGGGGAGGCTGCTTTCAAAAAAAGGGGAACTTGGAGATAGGGAATCGATATTTATTTTTTTCCATTTATTTTTATTTCTAGTCTGAATGAATCTGAAAGCATATCACACCCCGCTTCCTTGTACCCCTGAAATATAGTTATAGATCCAGGCTAAAAGGATGCTTTGATTTAATAATTTGCTGCTGTGTCTAACCCTTGCTGCATGTAATTCACTGCAGGCAGAACAAAGCTCTGTCACAACTGTGCTTCCTGGTTGTCGCCTCCTGCCTGCAAACCACTGAACATTTTCCACTTGATATCGTCATGCAGAAAGGGAGAAACGAGACGCAATGAGAGATTCAGGTAATTCACCACTAATACGCTCGATATCGGTAACTGTGTCAATGCTCATGTCTGTGGAGTAGTGCAATGCACGGAGATTGTATTGAACTCTGTCTGGGTGATGTCTGGGGTTGCATCAACGTTGTTTAAGTGAGGTTTGCTGAGCAAAAAATCCAGATGACTTTAGAGACTGATCTTTTTCCTTTATTTTTCTCATAGTGCCAGTTAGGGGAGAAACTATCCAGTAACTCAAAACCATCATTCCTATTACAACGTTCTGATGGGTTTTAAGTATTTTTTTTACAGACAAGAATAAAGGGTTAAATATATTAATGGTGACAGAATTTGGCTTTGTTCTTGTTGAATTAGAAATTGCCTCTTTGAAAAGGCAGCATTGCCAAAAATATGGTCTACAAATGTTACCAAGGACTAGCACCAAAGTGCTTTGTTTCAACCATGCTATTTGTTGGCGTGACTTTCCTTGGAAGTAATTCACTGGTTGCCTTTAAAAAAATTAAATTGTGGTTTTGCTTAAAACATAGGAAAAGATTTGTATGCAATAAGTTGCTCTTGGGGGAGCTATTAATTGTGTGTGGGGGTGGGCAAAAGAAAGAACAAAGAAAGCAGGCTTTTGATAAGACCCCCTTAATTCAACTATCCAATACTGAAATTCATCAGCTGCTTCTTCCCTCAGTAAATCTCTTCTTCTCCCCCCTTTCAGAAGTATGGTCCATGTTCTGTTTTGCCCTTCTTCAAACAAGCACAGTTATTCTATTCTGATTGACATTTGCTTAAGTGTTGGGGTTGTCTGTGTAAGTCTGGGGCCACTTAAAACATTTGTAACCTTCAGACGCAATATATTCACAGGTCTTCCTTTCAACCTGTATGTATGTCCAGGTTGAGGTCATAGGCCTTTCCGAAGTGCCCATTGAGACTGAAATAATATACAACTCATGGGACAATGACCAAAAAAATCTTTTCTGTCCTGCTCTTGAAAATGCTGTTCTTAACATTGTAATTATGGTTTTGCTAATTTGAATGAAAAGGTAAATATTAAAGGAACCACTGCTGAGGACTGCAAAGTTATAACAGTTTGTAGTGTTGCCATTCAAAACATTGTCAGGGCATAGATCTGTGGAAAATCCCCCCCCGCTTCCCTCCCCCCCGCATACATACCTTCATTTACAATAAAAATAAAGAACTCAATGAAGAGTTCAGTGCTTCACCTGTAACGTCTGTCAATTTTTAAAGGTGACGCTTGGTACAGCTGGCAAGAAAAATGAGGACGTTATCTTGTACAGAAAAAATTGTTTCGGCCGCACCTGACAAAAGTATGGTATGCACATCTCAGTCTCCCTGGAAGCATTGGCCAGTGCTTTGGAATGTCCAGATTAGGTATCTTGATGCCATGAAGAATAATAAATATTTCAATCTGTGTATTGTGTGTGTAAATTGTATGTATCCTGTAATAACATAGAACAGGCTGCTCATCATAAGAGAAGCCAAGGCTTAGCCAACTGAGTCTGGAGCTGGAAGACATGTACTTCAGTGTTCTAATTCTGGCTCTGACACTGATTCACTTGTGTGTTCAACATTGCTAGTTTCTCTGCATCTCAGTTTCCCCAGGCTTGCTCTTGGAGGTGCTCTTCATGTAGATCCGCCACTGGAAATTCTGCATGGCATTTCAGCATGTCCCAATCTGCTGGACATTTAAGCATATAGTTGACTTTACTCAGGTGAATAGTCCCATGAAGGTAGGGAGATACAAACTTGTGTAAAATTGACCTTGTGCTTAAGTATTTTCAGGGTCAAGACCACAGACTGCAAGTCTTTGGGGCCTGGGCTATGTCTATTTCTATACTTGTACAGTGCTTAGTAGAATGGGGCCTTGATACTGATTAGGGTTTCTGGCACTATTGTAATATAAACATTAAATAGTAATCGAGAATGCTTTCAGGATCGGGCCCTCCATCTGTGACATGGGGATAATTGACACTTTTATTTAAAACAAGCAAACAAAAACATTTATTTAGCAGCCAACTTGAGTAAGGGTTGCAGAGCTGGGCCCTTTGATATTGTTTTTGGCAGAACATGGGGAGTATATTAAAAAAAACATGGGATCCCAGCACATCTCAAATTCTGTACTGATTTTAAGATTCTACCTCTAGCTGCTGCTATCGTGTGGGTTGGAAACGAGATCTGAGCCTGGACCTTTTTCCCCTCCACACCATATAGATCCTCTACATAAATTCCACAGATGTTTTTGAGCCTATCAAGAGTTGCCTGCCTTCTTTGCTGATGCCATTTTCTATACAAATCGCTGTTCTGCTGCTCAGCTCTGTGGGGAGAGGAGTGGAAGCCTTTGAAACTGATTTGGCTGAGTTGCACAGTCTCCTGTCAAAGAAAACAGCAATAAGAAACCATCTCAGCTTTCATCTTCTTAAGTTAATTATCTAGGATCTAACAAAATTTTAAACAGGTGATTTTTAAAAAAAAAAGTTTGACTCTGATTGCAGTATTGCCAGCCATGGTTTCCAAGGCGCCCACTCACTGCACCAGAACTGAAGGGTAAGCAATAACAGTTTTATGGGGTGAAAACTCCATCAGTGGGTTAGGTATGCAGGTTGGGGTCAGATCTAAACAATCCTAAAAGAGCCGGAGAAGATGTAGACCCAAGGAAGGTTCCACACTGAATGTTTTGTGAGGAATTGAGTCCTGTCTCAAATAAGTATGTTAGTCTCTGAGGTGCCACAAGTACTCCTGTTCTTTTTGCAGATACAGACTAACACGGCTGCTACTCTGAAACCTGTCTCACTAGAGTTTCTTTAGGTGAAGTTAACAGAGAGCTGGTGTGGCATAGAACAGAAGTGGCTTCATAAAGCCTCAGTAGGAAACAGTGGGGGGAGGAAGCAAAAGTTTCTGGGACGAGATCAGCTCCCTGCCTAAAACTTCTGAGGAACTGATGATAAAAAAATTATAGAGAAGCAGTAGCAACTTTCATAGTTAAAGCTGAGTAATAAATACTTAGCCCCTGACCTGGCCTTTTTGCTCTTCAAAGTACTGTACAGATGTTAATGAATTTGTAATCTGTCCCTTCCTACCAGCTGCCCCAGGGTCATTAAAATAGCTGACAAGAAATCATAAGAGGTATAAAATTAATTTGAAAAGCATGTTTTATGATGAAGAGACCTTATTGGGGAAGAGGCTATTACAGCATTCGCTAACTGGAAGATAATTACAAGACATGGAATCTTCATCAGCCAATCTGATCCCCAAATTTCATCCCAATTATGGTTTAAACAGAGTTCAATTTCCTAAGATTTTTGTGAAAGGTGGCAGGCAAATCATCTCAGTCCAGAACTGACTTTCCCAACTTAGGCCTTCGTAGTTTGGGTGCACAAAGAAAAGTGTTTGTGGAAAAAGTGCATGTATAAGTTGGGGTTGGATTTGTGCAAGGGTGTTTGTGTGTGCCAACTCATGTGTGCATCAGGTGATTTGCATTGGCCCAACTTGGCCACATGGATGTTTACAAATGTTGGCCTCTTTGATTTCAGTGACAATTTGGGATGCACTGGGAAGATGGGATTAAGTTCCAAATGTTCTCTCAAAGTCGGAAATGTGGGAGCACATGGTTCCTCCCTCCCACCCCTCTTTCTCCCCAGGATTATTTTAGACCAGGTCTGCACTAGAAACCTTTGCTGGTATGGCAATGTCGTGGCAGTGGTGGTGGTTTGTTTGTTTATTTATTTTGGGGTGATGTTTCTATATTGACAAAAGCCCTAAGGTAGACACAGTAATACTGCCATAAACGTGCTTTTGCTGGTATGGCTTACTTTGTTTAGGGGACTGGTATAAGCTATACTGACAAAAGTACTTTTCCCCTGGGGTAAGCTATGCCTCCACTTGCCAGTATAGTTATATTGGTAGATATGCTGGCAAACCTTTTCAAGTTTAGACCTGGCCTTAGGCTAAGTTGAAAGTGAGGGATTTTTTCAGACCCAGGAGTAGGGTGTAAATGTGCTGGGACTCTGGAGGCAAACCTGGGATGTGGGTGGAACCCCGGGGTTAGGGTGGGTTATGCTCCTCTGTCAGAAAATATGTTTGTTACAGCCCCAGCTACGGAGCCTGGTTCTTTAAAATCCGACTTTGAGCTTTGGAGGTCTCTGGTTCAATCATTGTTTCAAGAAAGCAGCTGTCACTTAAATGGAGCTCATCTGGGATTCAAACTGCTGAGAGCCCTTACTTATTTGATAGATGCCATCTTGACACCAGGGATTGAACTGGGGTCCTCCAGAGCTAGAGTATGAGCCTCTACAACTTGACCTAAAGAGTTAGGCTGTCAAGATGGAAGTGACTCACATCTTCTGTGGATTTGGCACAGAGAGGGACACATTGACCAGTGGGTCATACATGTATGTGTGTGTGTAGGGGATTTGGGAAGTGTATGGTACCTTGTGGGAGGTAACTACTGGTTTATTTCACTTCTTTATTGTGTACTAATACTATGGATACTATAATCTTCTAGTGTATTAATATTATACATAGGAACACAGGAATTGGTCTGATCCACTGTGGCAATGTAGCCATTTCCCTGACAGTGGCTAGTATCAGATGCCTCAGAGAAAGGTGCAAGAAATCCTGAAGTAGGCAGGAATAGAATACCCTGCCCACAGGCAAAGTGCCTTCCGAATCCTCATCTATTAGAGACTGGCGTATGCCTTGAAATCTGATTGCTTCTATCCCTTCCAAAACTCTTGCTGTTTTTAATTCTTGTTATTGTAACTCAATGTTCTTGTTATCATTATAAATAAATGTAGTGCTATTAATACCATAATGCGCCACACAGTACATTCTACACAAAGCTGTGCGAGTCTGATACCAAAACAGCAAACACTGCTGTGCTCTGATCAAGTTACTCCTCCATAATTGAACTTAAAAATGATTAAAAATCATAAAACGATGGCAAGGTTCGAGTGCTTGGAACGTTCAACAGGATCCCACTTCCTGAAAGCAAGATGAGGATTTACTCAGTAACCCCAGTAGTTGCAAGCTCTGATCTCAGATGATGAGGCATGATGGGAATTAAGTTTACCTTGCTGGGGCAAAAGAATTTGTATAGTGTGCAACAATTGGTGACTACACCTGTTAGATCAATGGCTCTCAACCTTTCAGACCAGTGTATCCCTTTCAGGAGTCTGATTTGACTTGCATACTGCCAAGTTTCACCTCACTTAAAAACTACTTGCTTACAAAAATCAGACGTAAAACTACAAAAGTGTCACAGCACACTGTTACTGAAACGTTGCTTACTTTCTCATTTTTACCACATAATTATAAAATAAATCAACTGGAATATAAATATTGTACTTTCATTTCAGTATATAATATAAAGAACAGTATAAACAGGTCACTCTGTATGAAATTTTAGTTTGTACTGACTTTGCTAGTGCTTTTTATGTAGCCTGTTGTAGTACTAGGTAAATATCTAGAAGAGTTGATGTATTCCCTGGAAGACCTCTGCGTACCCCACCAGGGAACCACTGTGTTAGATAATAAGGTAAAAATATTAGTTAGGTGATTTTTTTTAACATTATATTCTGAATCGTGACTGATACATTTTATCCTTTAAAAAAAAATTATAGAGAGTGAATATTCCATCAGATGCTGTGTCTTTTTTATCCAGCTCAGATCATCTGCAAATAAAATGAGTTAGGTTGTTGCTGTTGCTTCTTTTCCCTTTTGAAGTAGTATGACCCAACTCCTGCAGATCGGGATGCCACATTGGCAGATTGCCTGAAGTCCTTGGTCCACTGTTTAATTTACTTTTAAAAAACAATATAACAAATTATTTTTATTCAGATAAATGCACACACCCATGGCATTTGCTTGTACTTTTCCATGACACATGACTAAAAATTGCTTGTTGGCTGAGTTCACCAGCAGCAAAAACCTACAGTTGATCAGCTTTATCACTGGCCTACAGTTAAAGGGAATATTTATATTTAAACAAGTCTGACTATGGGAGTTAGCATAGTGCAGTGGGTTGAATAGAGGGCTGCTCCTTGGGGCATTTGGATTTAGGTTGATCAGATGCCCTTGAGGCATCAGGAAGTTTAGACTTGAAATTAGACCAAGGTTTCTAACCATCAGAGGAGTGAAGTTCTGGAACAGCCTTCAAAGGGGAGCAGTGGGGGCAAAAGACATATCTGGCTTCAAGACTAAGCTTGATACGTTTATGGAGGGGATGGTATGATGGGATAGCCTAATTTTGGCAATTAATTGGTGTTTGACTATTAGCAGTAAATATGCCCAATGGCCTGTGATAGGATGTTAGATGGGGTGGGATCTGAGTTACTACAGAGAATTCTTTCCTGGGTGTCTGGCTGGTGAATCTT